ATATATGTTGCTTTTATCTTCTTACTGTCTTAAAAATGTGGTAGCCTAGCACACATCATATCTAAGTACAGGAAAGGCTGGCCGAGGTTCTGCCTGCCACAAGGCGTGCTCAGCTATTATTGGAGCACAGGGAAAATGGGCGGGACTTGCTGCTTATGATTGTGAGATATGTTGTTGTGACTGTTGGTTCTCGTTTCAGATGATGCAAATCAAAATGTGGAAGAAGAGATAGCAGAAACCTGTGGCCTTGAACTTCTTGAAAAGCCTCACATGGTAGGAAGGCTTCAGACGGGCCGAAAGTCATCAGAGATGCATTAAATATTTGTACAATTTCTAGGCTTTCTAAGAGAGCCTGTCTAAAAAGCAGTGGCCTTAAATTAGTTCACAATAATTAATATTTACACCTTAGCTCAGGCATTTTCTTTCATTTCCCTCGGGATAAATAAAGTATCTATCTATTTGAACTCATTTAGCGTGAAAAGTTGTCTGATTGTTTTCCATGTTCCATGTCTTTTTTCTCAGAAAATGGAGACGTACAGAAGTACAGGCCAGCAAAGCCGCTCCAAATCTCCCTGGAAAAATGACGTTCGTTTAAAGTAAGGATCATCAGTTGGAACATATTCATTTGCTGACTATTGTGACAGTATCATGAGTGTAAATGTACAAATTCTCTACATAGTAGATGACATATCATTTGAGAATGTAAAGCCATTTTGTGCCTAAGAAGACACTGGCAGCCTTCAACCCTTCTCCAACATGAACTGCCTTAAAGCTACACTTGGACTGCACCAGTCCTTCTGCTAACTATAGTACAATACCACAATGTTTTTAAGAATCTCATTTAGGAGGATCTTTTGGCAGAAATTGAATAGAATATTCATAGGTATGTTTTCATAAGTTTACAATCACCTAAAAGTAAGCATTATTGTGTTTCCGTTACCTTAGAATGAGCCGTTTTTATATACAGAGGAAGGGGGGGGGGCATGTTGAACCGGTATGTTTCTACAGTAGCCCAGAGTGGACAAACCAAACACTGGATCTAGATTTCTCTTACACACTTGGAAGGCCAGCAGTATTCAGTCTGCATGCAATCTGCAACCTCTAGATGGCACTAAATCACACACTATACACACTGGTCCTTTACTTTTGTTCTTTATTCATGAATTCAAGCAAAAAAAAAAAAACTCCAATAACAAAATCATATTTGTTTCCCTTCCTTTAAGGCCGTATTGCTCCTCTCTTTCATCCACACTGATCCACAGTCCAGACTCAACCACAGAAAGATCCCCATCACTTCTCCCACGTGTCAAACGTTTTTCAGAGGAGAGCTCCTTTAATAAAGCAAAGCGGAAGAAGGAGGAAAGTGAGCCGGAAGAGGAGGACAAACAAGGAAACCAGGAAGGGGTGGACAAACAGCGGGAAGGCAAACACATTCAACCTGAACTGATCAAACAAACCTCCACACCTTTAAGCAATCAAAGCTTCAAGAAGCAGCCATTAGACAATAAGGTTAGACACATGTCCAACAGGCTTGTATGAATTTGTGTGTTGGGGAAAGCAGCATGTCAGATAGCAGCACCAACTTTGATCCATTAACTTGTTTCACAAAGCACTTCTTATATGTATAAAAGTGACATTTCAGCTGTTAACAAAAGAAGAGAAAAAAGAAGTCTAAGTCAGAGCGATCCCTAATTCTTCCATGTGGTTTTAAAATGCGATTTAACAGGTTCAGTCAGCACAAAATGAGACTGCCACCCAAAGACCAAATGTTTCCTGTATAAGTCCTGCTTTCAAGAAGCCAAATGTTAGAGGAGAAGCAAACAAGGGTGCTGTTGGGAAGAGAGAAAACCCCCTGCAGGATCTGAGTGCCTCACATGACCAACACGAAGGAGAAGATGGTGAGTTTTATGTCCTGTTCCTGGTAGTGGGATGTGTCTGATGGCCTTTTCAGTGCACATCATGTGAGGGACAACATTTCTGATTGTAGGCCAAATGCTGTACAATTTGTTGTCTCCATAATTGTGCTTCCTTTCAGCTGGGAGAGCAGAGTTAGCATGGTCTGACAAAGTGGAGCCCATGTGGAGCATTGACCCTGCGCTCGCCCTGTCCATGTATGACAGTGAGTGGAGAGGAGACCAGGTACAGTCACATGACCTGATACACAGCAGCACTCACTGTATGATCATGATGATTTTAGAAAACCCCTGTATTGTTGTTAATTACGTGGTATCTGGCACATTTTTTAACCTGTAGTAGACATATGTTAGAATATGATTGTGAATGTACATGAAAAGATAGGAAATCAGAAGTATATATGTTGTGGTTAAATGCTATTTTGTAGCTGATGTGTATTTGGATATATTCATCTGGATATATTGGGTGGATGGAGTCTCTTACAGCAGACTGTTTCTGTATTGTATCTTTTAGCAAAACCAAGACGAGCAGTGTCACGGAGAACTGGTAGATACCGACTGCACCTGGGTCAGTCACAGCGTACTCCAGTCTCGGGCAGACAACGCCCCAGACACAAGAGACGGTGTATCTGGTGAATATGAATCACAACTTTTAGGATCATTTCTCCCCGACAGGTTTTGATTGCCACAGAGTTTATGAACACAAGATAGTCAAATGTGCTGCGATTTAAAAACTGAAAAGCGATTTTGTCTGTCTGCTTTCCAAGGACTGGGCGGGAAGGCAAATGACAGTTTGGATATGATGTTTGACACAACAGCTTACGGGGAGTACAAGTCTTGCAATGGTTCACACTTAGCCCACAGCCAGCCCTGTGATGATGAAGATGATGACGACGAGGAAGAAGAGGAGGAAGAGGGCAATGGTAGGCTTTTAGATTTAGAGAAACTGTTTGACCAGTATTACTGTGTTTGCCATTGGCTGTCAATTATATTTAACTCGTGTTAATGTTTTAATCTCACAAATTAGAGCCTCATGAAAACACTATGAGCCAAAGTAGAGGGCACAAGGCACGGTAAGAAACACTCCAGCGTATAAGTGTGTTTTCCTCTTCAACTATAACATTAATAGAGTTCAGTCTCACAGACACTGAATTTCCCACAACCTCCCTTTTTTTCTCTTTTTGGATTAGACGCCCAACATTTGCACATGTGGCTGTGATTCGCAATAAGGAGGAGAGAAGGAAACTAAAGGGCACTACCTGCAAGGAATGTGAAATCGTAAGTATTGCGGTCATGAAGCTGAGTAACACTGACATATTTCGATCCTATTTTAAGGCTGTTTATTTCCAACAGTATTACGCCCATCTCCCAGAGGAAGAAAGACTGAAAAAGTTGTCTTCGTGCTCCAGGCACCGATTTCTCTACATTCCTCCTTCTACTCCGGAAAACTTCTGGGAAGTTGGATTCCCATCAACGCAAACGTGCATTGAAAGAGGTAATTCAGCGATTATCACTTTTTAGTTAAACCTTGTTAGGAAAGCATTAGCAGAACATTTTAGCCAATTTCATTCTTACAGTGTCGTTGGTGTTAATGCATCCCATAATAACATAAAAAATACTTATAGAAGTCATTTATCATGAACACTGAAATATAATAATTTCCCTTCTAGGTTATATCAAGGAGGAGAAGAATCCACAAGCACGTTCTCGGAGAAGACAGCCATTCAATGCTTTGTTCTCCCCGAATAAAAAACAGCAGGAGGACTAAAAATGTCTCCGTTTGTCTCTATAGAAGAAGTGTTGGAATTGGCCCATTTATGGACAAATGACAGTATGTGAAGAACAGGCTTGTCGGTGTGTAAAAATTACACTGCATGCACAATGAAGCTCTGTGTTATACAGTGACCTTATTAGGAATGTTGACCTGTTTTTGTTTTTTAAAGAAGTCTATAATTGCTGTGTGTGTATATACCGCCTGTTTGTGTTTAGTTTGTCTTTGTAAATAATGAGTATGCTTGGGATATGTTTGGATTAATAATAAATAATAAATTACATCTTTGTCTAAGTTGATGTCTAATGATACAGTGTGATTTAACAGGATTACAAATGTCACTTGTATTGCTAAATTACCAAAGGCACTGCACAGCACAATATGTACACAAATATTTTATTTGGTCAGCAGATTATCAATGCACAGATGAGAAATTACAAAATTTATTTGAAAAAATAAAATATTTTTTTTTTCTAGAAAAGAAATCTCTTTAGGCAGTGCAAGTTGCAGGTTAATCTCATCACAATTGAGATTGTCTCTCAGAATACACCAGCAGGGCCTCTCCAACATGACTGACCACCACACTGTGACCGAACACAAGAAAAGAAAATCATGACTCACCTAGTTCCAGTGGAACATAAAGGGGACAAACATGAGAGTTCACATGAAAAACATTTAGCACGTATTTTTAGTTCCTAAAATTGGCAGGTGAGGGACTTACCAAACAAGAGCTGGAGCATTAATGTCCATGTAGAAAATGAATGGGGAGAGGGACATGGCTGTTACCTGGAAGGAATGTGTTACTTCTTGTTTAGCAGTAAGTCAAACCAGTGATATTGAGAATTAAGACTAATTTGACAAATAATGTAAAAAACACAAAAAATTACCTTAGACAAAAAAATCCAGACCCCAAAGTGCTCGAGGGAAAATCCACTTTTCAGTTTGACTGTGGCCAACAGCAACAAAAATCCCAGCAATGCACTGTGAAATGAGACAATGAAGTATGAGGTGACGGCTAAAAAAAACATAAAAAATGAAAGATTTGAAAGGACAAAAGCTGATAGAAGTACTATGTCAACTTTGTCTATTCTCACTTCACTTTCTAACAGATCTACTTATAATAACAAAGATAACACTGTTTGAGGGCCTCAACATGTTACACATAGTTAACTGTTCACAATGTGCGCTCTGATATCAAGGTTACATTACAACAGTCTGTTTACTCTCCATCAAACGACAACTGGCTCCTAAAGCATGTTCTATTTTGATACTGTGGAATGTATTCTATGCTAGGGCTGCTTCTCTGGATTACTGGCTGAAAAACTATGTAGGCTGCTCTATTTGATATTTGATTTGAACAGTGGCTACAGAAAGAAACTGCAAGTGCCAATGGACTGAAAGCTTTCACCTGGCACAGCAGCCACAGTGAAATGTGTGGGACTGAAGGGAGGGAAACTCCAAGGCACCCATGAGGTCACCTGTAAGGGGGGACAGAGACACAACTCAGCAGAGACAAAAAAGGGGACAATTCAACATTATTTTAGCATTAACCCATGTAGGAAATGGTCATTCTTACCTGTTGGGTGAGCAGCAATGGCCAGCAGTAACACACTGTTGTGTAAAGGCAGGAGAAGCTGGGATTAGCCACTGATGATGCCTAAAGCTGCTGTATGTTAGATCTTAATGTAAAACGATTGGATCACTACAGCCACTCTGAATGCTCAGGCAAATTACTTAATGAAAAGATGTTATATGTATTCAAGTTTACTCCCGAATATTGTCAGCAAGTATGTTACTGTTCATATGTAGTTCCTGATTTCTGCACATTGCCTTTTACCTCCACTCTTAACTTGGATAATGTGTTCTTCCTCCAGCTGTTCTGTTGCTGTATTAGGATTTAGCTGCATATGACTTAATAAAAAAGGGATCTGAATTTTTTTGCTAACTTTGACTCATCCTAAAGCTCCAGGGAAAGCAATAAACATTAAGTGACCACCTGCATGTTGCATCACCTTGTTTTGAGATTACATTTTTCTAAAAAAAAAATCTAAAAAGGCAGTTAATGTATCAAGTTAAAGAAATAAACATTAATATATCTGTGCACATACTGCAAGGATTAGTTGTGTTCAAAAACAAAACTCAAAAACAGTTAATTTAAGACTTTCTCAGGATGTGTAAACATACACACACACTGAGTTTAATCCTTAAATTAAAGTGACTTGTGCTTATTATGTATCAAATCCAGTTGTTTTAAATTATTTATTCTTACCTGAACAAGTAGTTTACACATTGTTGTTCAAGGTCGCTGAAATGAAAATATTATAAAGAGTGCCTTTATGGAACTGTCCAAGTTACTTATGCACAGTGTGTGAAAATGCACAGACAAAATACAATTCTTTTTTTGGTTCCATCACTAGAGTGGTTTAACAATCTATAAATAAAGTGTTTACATGTTTTCTACTATTATCAACAGTGCTTTGTGTTTAGGCTTACCTCAAATTACTGGGTTTGTAGTGAACCTGAAACACCCTGTATGCACCTGAAAAAATCAATATTTTCAATATTTTTTTATCAGAACATCTTCTAGTAAATGTCAGGTTGGAAACTGATTCTGATGACTCCTGATTATTGTATTCTGATGGGGATCATCTTAAACACACCACTGATCATTCTAATCTGGACTGCACTGTACTGTATGTTTCCTTCAATCATGTGTGGCATCCCTCAAGGCTCAAACCTCGGCCCGCTGTTCTTCTCTGTATGTAACTTTTATGTAGCTATTACAGTTAACAGTGTAGCATAGCTGTATATTCTTAGACTTACCAACACAGAACAGATGACCGACAGCCCACAGGTAGCCACTGTAATCAAACTGCAAAAGAGACAAACATGTAAACAGTGTGTTTGTTGTGGCACATCACCCACAACACATGGAATCTTCCTCCCAAGTACAGTGACAGAAATTATAACATACATACCTGAGGATCATAGAAGGGGAGATTGATAGCTGAGAGCAACATGAAGCATATGCTACAAGAAGAAGCACATTTAATTAAATCTACATTCTTGGTATTTTTTAATAGGTTTAAATATAGTTATTGACATCATCACTAATATTATTATTATTATTATTATTATTATTATTAACAACAACAACAACAACAACAATATTAATAATAATAATAAATAATCATGCTCCTTTCATGGAACAACTGAAATGTAGTGTATTTTCTTTATATTATCACATCTCCATATAAAAAGTTGGCAAAAATGTAACATCTTTACAGTTGAAGTCCATCTTGACCCAATGATCCACGATACACACTGTACTGCTCAGGTGAAGGAAAAGGGTAACAAACCTGATCAATTTTAGCCATTGCACCTTCTGTTGATGAAAGATCAGAGAAGATTTTACAGAGTAAGAAATATCACAGTGGTGTTTAAAGCTTGTACATGGCTGTAAGTCTGTTCAAGGTCTACAGCAGCGGTGCCTCCATTGCCCTTAATATTCCTCCATTTGCTTGCAGTAAATACGACGAGGTAGCACAAAGGGAGGAAGTACACTGCACATAATTGTAGATATTCACATAAAGCAGGCAGTGCAGGCTCTTACCTCTCTATGGACGACCTTCAGGATTATGTAACTAACAACATGAGAGGAATTCTGAAGAGTGAAGAAAAAAGGAATGTCCTGGACAGAGAAAAAGAAAACGATATTTCAACCATTACAAAATCAGCACCTGTATATGCTGAGCAATGCAACAATCTACTCAATTATTCAGATTACAGTTAATATGACTGAAAAGCCATCTTGAGGCGGTGGGTTATATGACGTACTATGCGTGACAAGGCCCTGGAACCAGCATATATGTTTCCAACAAACAGGAGGGAGCCTGGAAGCCAAGAGAGAGCTGCTGATCTGCAACACAACATTAAAACATAAAGCTCTTAACAGTACATCCGCTTACACAGGCAGCCAGTGAAGACAGTCTAGTATGACTCCTACAGCAGTGTAACCGGTACCTGGTGATGCGGCTCATTTCCACCCATCCCAGCTTCCCAGAGAGCAGAAGCAGGACAGCCCCGATAAATGTCTGCCATCTGGAAATATGCATTTTTGTCACAAACACATACAGCAGGTTTTCTGGGTGCAAAGTTTGCATTTCATCACTTAGAGGTCATTTGTGACATTAATCAAGACGCTGGTTTTTTAACAGATGCATGAACAGTACGCGTATTTCTGTCGAGAGCAACGTTGAACCTTTAAGACCATTCCAAATATTACATTTCCATTATTTGTTTGGCCTTTTCGAGTGCTTTGATGGACATATGAGGAGGTTCCACATGTAGTATTTACCCTCAGCTACTCACCCTTGAAATAAGGTTGGATAGGTGAATTTTAATACTGACAGGACAAACTGAAAAACAGAAAGAAAACACATCATTCAGGTCATGGGTTTATCATAAGCAAACTTCTAACGTCTAACTTATCAGGCTGACTCCAGGAGAGGCTCCACCACTGGCACCCTGCCAAACCCCATTCAAAAACCTACCCACTATCAGCAGCTCTCTGGTATAACACAGCTCTCAATATATCAGTACAGGTGTGCTTTTATAGAACTTATGTGTTCATTTTGCTGCAACTGCTTCCTACCAAAACAGAGGTTGAGGTTTAGTTGACAGTGGTGCGTTTATGGGTGTCGTTCATGTCTGATTACAGCGATTCGAAAAGGGTCTTAAGGCGTGTTCACTGCACGGTTATTACGAGGGTTACATTATAATTTTACGCAATTTTCCAACAAATAAGTCACGAACAGTGCAAAATAAGCACATCTGGTGAACTCAATTAAACCGCTGTATAAAAGTCACACAGTCGGTTTTTTTTTTAACAACTCGGCTGAGAAAAAATGTAGTTCTATCCAGGAGTTAACACCAAAACACCTCGTCTTAAAACTAGTTTAATTCCGGTTTCAATGCCCTCAACACTCACCTTATTGGTGAAATATGATACAACGAAAACGAAGCTAAAAGCGAGGCCAGTGATGTGTCTTCTCCACTGCATGTTGAGCTGCCGACACTCTGCAGCGGGGACATGATTCCCCACACAGAAACTATTCTAAATCTAATACATGTTGCCTGTTTCAAACTCAACACATTTCAAGATCGGAAACTTCCCTCACTGTCTTCGATGACACGTCAAGACGTTGTGAGTCAAAGATCGTCTATGTTCGGGCGGATCTGTCGCTGACTCGGAAAGTGCATCACGCAGGCGCATTCTCTGCATATTTTGGTGTGAAAACAAATGTAGCGACGTGTATTGTGGTATGTCGGCGATGAAAAAGTGGCAAAGGTGTATGAAAGAAAAAGCGGAGCAAGCAGCTCAAAGTGGTTCATGAATTAAAGGGGTAAAGAGCAGAAAACTCAAACAACTTTTAATATATTTGAATACATTTTAAAAGAAGAAGACATTCAAATAATAAACAATTAAAAAAACAAAAGTATTTATATTTACTTTTATATTTATAGTGGCTCCTTTTTATTGTCTGTATTTTTTTAATCTTTTATCTTTAATTTATATTTTTCGTGAAAACATACTTGGCAATAAACCTGATTCTGAAAAACAAAAAAGTTCAATTTGAAAAAAAATGAATTAATAAATAAGTATACATTAAATGGGGAAAGGGCGTTCATTTGGCTTAAAACATGTAATATGTCCTGTAAATTAAAATGTTTCTGGGTTTGAATTTAGTTTAAAAAACGTGTTTTTGAGCTGTAAACTGAATTCTATGACTGTACTACGATGAAATGCATCGATTGTGGTGTTAAACTGTACATTATTATCAATTTTCTACAAACAAAATCAGCATTTTGTGGGTTAAAAATGCCTCAACACCCCCTCTACTGTATTACATCGCACCACTTTTCAAAACAAAAGCCCCAATCATGACGTATATTGTGATAATAGTCAAAATGAAACTAACAATAGCATGGTGCCATAACGCTATTGATAAATCAAAGGTACCAACGCCTGAGCTACACTTTGTTACGTAGTTGCGGTCTCCTGAAACAGAGTCGGAGTGAAACCTCTCTGCTTTCCTTTGTTGTCGGATCGTTTGTCTGGGGGTCAGTCACGTGGTGCTGAGCAAGTTTCCGTGTTTATAGAGCTGTGGCTGATCTGTGCTCAGTTCTTCTCAGAGGATGGTGTGCAGTCATGGCTTTTTTAAAGACGCGAGAACGAAGCAAAGAAAGGTTTGTGCCGCTCCTCTTGTTGTTAACAGCACATTGTCCCCGGCGGGGGGTCACTGCGGGTCCGGGGACGAGCTCCGGGGCTCTCGGCTCTCGGTTCTCGGCTGTGGGGCTCTCGGCTGTGGGTGAATCCCTTCATAACGTCCGTCTGGGCCACTCCGCTAATGAGAGCTTCACTGTCAGCTGCGTGATGCACTCTTGTTATTGACGGCGCAGTGAGTGGAGCAGGGAGGGTTTCGAGTCTGCAGCGGGCTAAGTGACTGTGTGCTATTGATAATGCAGTGAAGTATAGTCTATTCATAGTCAGCTGTTATGAAACGCCCCAGCATGTCTTCTCCAGTGGAAGAACATCACATACCATCTGCTTTATGTCCTGCTATGGCTGTCTGCAACCTTAAACACCTCCACTGTCCACTCTGACACTGACATCCATGATACGAGGACACCGCAGAGCTATACAGAGCAGAGTGGACAGCAGCCAATGGGGGCAACTGGAAGAAGCAGCAGTAGTTGGTGAATTCTGTATGCTTTAGATTGACCACAGGAGCCCTCTCTCTGAAGCGTTTAGATGATGTTCTGTGTGGCCCTGATGTTAGAGTGAGGCATTGGGTTTCCAGACTACCCAGTGTAGTCCTGATGTTAGAGTGAGACATTGGGTTCCAGACTACCGTGTCAGTTTTACACAAGATGCCCGAGTGA